ACTCTCCATGTCAGCGACGAAGATGTTAAACAAGATCGGTCCCAACACCGATCCCTGAGGGACACCACTTTTTACTGGCCTCCAGCTGAACATCGAGCCATTGACCACAACTCTTTGCATGAGGCCATCCAGCCAGTTCTTTATACACCAAGTGGTCCATCCATGAAATTGATGTCTCTCCGGTTTCGAGACAAAGATGTGCAGGGCACCGTCAAACTTTGCACAAGTCCAGGTAGATGATATCAACTGCTTTGCCTCTGTCCATCAGTTCTGTAGCCCATCATAGAAAGCCACCAAATTGGTCAGGCAGGATTTCCCCAGCGTGGCCCCGGGATTGTTGCCTGTCCTCTGTGGCATTGAGCACCACCCCTTGTCAGGTCTTCCCCGTCCCATTCTGGCTGGGTTCTTGCACTGCTCACGCACCACCACAGCACCACTCTGAAGGATTTAGGAAAAGAAAATACAATCTAAACTAGACTAGGCTAAAATCAACTAAACTAAACTAAGCTAAGCCTAACTTTACTTATAAATAAATAAAATACTCTTTCCATCTGTAAGCTTTCTGATTTGTGTCTTTGAAAGTGTTTTTGTTTCTGAAAACTCCCTGGCATTTCTGGTAAATAATGGTCTTTATCATTATACAACTCATTGTGAGTGCAGGGAATGGAATGGAATGGGAAGGAACGAAATGGAACAGAACATCTATGATATCTCATGCATATAGCTCTGCATGACAAGCTCTGACATAGGTTTGAGGAGCTGTCTACAGTGGGGGCCCTAATAGGGGCTGGTCCCAGGCACTGAGGCCTATGGAAACCCGAAGGTTTCCTCTCACTCCGGGGTTGAAGTAGTCCTCTCTGGAACACACTTTATAGCTCTATAGATGTGTTAGTAAGATCTACACATCACAAATACTGCTTTTTAAAATTGCAGGTGTTACTTTTCCAAAGTTCAATTTGGGTTTTGTTTTTTGTTTGTTTGTTTGTTTGTTTGTTTGTTTGGTTTTTTGTTTGTTTGTTTGTTTGTTTTAAATCTCAATTTCCAGATTATTTTTTGCCTTCCTTTTTCATGGTGCAGTTTGCACCAGTGATTTGTGTTGAACTCTAAATCAAATGCAGGTGCAAAAATGTTGATACAATTTGATGCCCAAGCTGAGTGTGTACTGTGTAAGCTTACCCATATGCATATATCTTCTTTTAGTACAGCTTATTCATGTCCAAAAGTTCACCAGATCTATACAATTACAGGATAATAGCAGAAAGGGAAAAAATAGCTCATTTAATCTGCCTTTTTAGTTGTTTAGTTTACACCTGATTTAGTGCTAATTATTTGGATTTCATTCAAAGCCCTTTTTGACAAGCCAAAGGTGATGGTAAACCTGAGAAGTTGGATAAGTAAAAAATTCTGGAAAACTCTTGGTTGGGTGCTGCTATCAGTTTGTCATGTCTTTCATCCCCACGCACTTCCATGCTCAGTGTTTGGTGTTGGAGCACACAGCATTTCCTGCTAAGAGTGTGACACGGATATTGTATAGTGATTTTATTCTTCAAATACAGCCCCTAAAGGTGATTTCCAGTGAAAAATGTTGACATTTAGCAGTGCACTATAATGTACCAAACTATATTAATTTAAAACTATCCTATAGTGAGACTCCTGGACTTTCTCAAGACGTTTGAACTTTTCAGTCACCATGAAATTATTCTGGGCAGCTGGCCAGTTCCTAAATAACTGTGTGTACATCAGTAGCAAAGCTGTTAGTTTTGTACATGATTGATCTCAGCCTGTTATGAAAACTGTCAACTAAAATGAAAGAGTTAGAGCATTACAGTACATTCTTCATGATCATTTAATTCCATTGAAGTATTTACAGAGTGTTTAAGTGATTTTCGCATATGCTTGCCTCACAGACCTTATGAAAATCGCGTTTTTCACTTTTTATGTTTTGCACATTACTGGATCTTCTTCCATTATCAGAATTAAACAAATAGGGAACAAAACAAAAAGTTAGGAAGAGTAGGTCTTCTCCCTTTGTCTATGGTTAACTCAGTTTCTTGTTTGGCATGTTCTCACCAAAGTGTCAATGTCTTAGAAACTCAATGTTTGTGTTAAATTTGAGCTTTCAGTTTGTTTTGCAAAGAACTTTACATTCAAAAATCTTCCTGTCTCTAAATGAAGATGGGTGATACTAAGAGATGCTCACTCTCGTGAGCCTTTTGAACTGTTTAAGTGATCTTGTTCATGTTACCAGACCCTAGAGCACTTCCACTTTCCAGGCTGTTACAAGGAACAGTCTGCACCATGGTTGCCGCATTCCAACTTAACCCTGTAACTCTAAAAATATGTTTTTAATATGGGTTAAATAAAGTTGAAGTTGTAAAGGTTTTAAGCAGCAACACAAGTAGGATGTATGGCATGGAGAGCAACAATTACACCCTAAGTGCATAGAGAAGAATGTGGTGAAGCTAAATGCCTCACACTTCCCAATATGTAATAGTATCACAGCATGAATAATTGGAGATATTCTGTGGAACTGCTTTGGCTGCTTAGACTTCAGGTTATTTTTAAGCCTATCTTGAATCATTCTCCTGTTTAGACTGGGGATATTGCTGTCCCCTGGCTTAGACTGGGGATATTGCTGTCCCCTTGCTTACCAGTTGATACATTTTCCTGCTTCCAAGCTCTCCCCAGTCTGGTCTGCAATTTATAATTTCTCTAATCTGTATACACTGATGTCTGTGAACAGGAGTTCATAGCATAGAGACATTCTCCATGCCAAAATCTGCATATTTATGCAATTATTTTTTGTTAAAAAGCAAATGGCAGAAACTTGCAAACCTTTTTTCCTCTAAAAAACATCCTTTCCCAAAGCTTTTCCACGGTACAATATTGCAGAAAAGCCCTGTTAGATTACCCAAATCATTTCCTTGTCAGTGCGTGATTTCTTTCTGCAGCACTCTGCTGTTTCAAGGGTTCTGTCTAGCCTGAATTTGAAATGATGAGGCACTTCCCTCCAGAGACCTCTCTGAACACTCGGAGACTTCCCTGTAATGGTAGTAATCTTTATTCTCATTCTAGACATTCCTTCTCTTAATTTCATCCTCTCATTCCTATATTTGGGGTACTCTATTATAGTCTTAAAATAATTCATTTTCAAACATTTCTTACACAAATCTACATTATCTCTCTTCACCTTACTTTATTATTATTTCTGGTAGATGTAGTATAAATATTGGTCCCTTTTAGCCTTTCTCTCCATTTTATTCCCTTTCCCCTTATGTAGCTCTCCGCTGGTGGTGTCTTCTTCACTGTTTTGGCTTGATAGTGTAAGACTGGTGAAAGGTATTTAGAAATGAATGCATAGTGAGCTATAGTCTCTTCAAAGCACCACATACTGGAGCTGTGGACTTCTGTACCATTTTCTAAACCTATATAACATCTAGCCAACAGAGACTGCTTGTGAGCATAGCCTTTAGAAGGTACTGTAATTGATGCCCAAATTGGTCTTCTGATGCAATATTGAAGTGCAAATTCTTGAATATTTTCTGCTCTTATTCTTGCTATAGATTTTTTTCAGTCTGTTATTTCCTGCCCTTTTTTCTAAATCTGTCCTTTTCCTCTTCCAATGCAGTTTTTGCAACTCTTCATGTTTTAACATTGAGGGTTTCATTAATGTCATCATTTCTTCCTTCTAAGGATCATGAATAAAGCAAATAGGACAGGACATAATACAGATTTATGCAATAGTCCCCCTTCTATTCTGACTCACTGCTTTACCATTAATCATTAGTCTTTGTAGCTGTTCAAGCAGTTTTCAGTGTATATGACAACTTATATCCAGCCAAGTAAGAACTGATTTTCTGTTTAAGCTATCCTGTGGTTGGAAGTGGTGATGTTGCTGATAGTGAAGCTGAGCAGTTGTTCTTCTATAGCATGCTGCAGGAACAAGTATTTCACTAGGCGGTGCAAACGAAAGTTAAAACTCTGTTTGACTTCCTAGCCTTGTAAGAGTCTATAGCTGATGTCTGTCAGCAGTATTCCCTGCAGGTGCTGATGGTGAAAATCTGTTTGAAAATGTAAGCTTCTAAGCCTATGTTCACAAGCAGGTGGGAGAAGAAAAACTGCAGTAATCTCAGAGAGATGTATGCTGATTGAAATAGCGTGTAATACGCATAGCATTTAAAATAAATGTAAAAATTAATTTCACTCATTCTTTTGACTTGGTATTTTGTTGCAATGACACAAATGAATTGCTACATCAGGTAGTAAGAATTTAAGAATCCTATCTCCATATCATATTTTTTTTATCAATTCTCATTAGATTTAGCCATCATTTGTCCGTCCACATAGACAGAAGTATCTGCCTTTTCTTTACTTAAATATGTGATATTCTGTGGAATAACTGTTTGTGCATATTTATAAATACAACATGCACTATGTGATTTGCTGAAGCTCAGTATCAGAACTGCTGATGTCGATGGATTCTTTTAAGTCCTTTGTTATTACTTGTAATACTCATCTAAATGTAATTTTCCAGTTATTTTCGTGTTCTGAGAGCTAGATCCTTTAGAATTGCTCCCTTTTAAAATGCCATGTTCTATTTGAATATTGAAGAGCTGTCAGCATATACAAGAAGATGTGCCTAATGAGAAAAGATCATGGGTGTTTATTTGCTTGATAAAGTGTAAGGGAGCTGTGAAGAAAACATAGAAATAAGCATATTGAATGGAACACTCATACACTTCATATTTTAAAATTAAAATTATTATCAATCCTTCCATTTTCTGACTTTCAATTAAAGGCATGGTATTGCTAGGTATTTGTCAGCTTCTAGCAGAAGCACACGAATAACTCATATCAAATTTACCCTCTGTAGTTCTTTGCTGCCATCTTCTGTTTCTTTCAATGATTGCCGTTGTTATTTGGATTCTGAAGAACAAGGCTGTGATATTACAGAGCAAAATTTCCCTTTCTGTCATTTTGTTTCATTTCCTTGTTTTCAGCTAAAGCAAAGTGAAGCAAATGCAGATACAAAGGAGAAGCTTCCATTACGCCTACGCATCTTTGAAAAATTTCCTAACAGGCCACAAATGGTGAAAATCTCCAAGCTTCCTTCAGATTTCACAGTTCCAAAAATAAGGTATTGAAATATTTCCTTTGCTAGTATACCATAAACTTGTCTGGTGCCATGTAGCATTCAAGGTATTTAACTGGTTTGTTTGTGGGCTCAGCAGATCATTCAGAAACTCAGAAATGAAGCAGAATTAATGTTGGCATCAGAAGGATGTAACAGTTCTACCTCATTCTTACTTGTGAGGAAAAAAAAAAAAACCCTAAAATTTCTTAAAACATATTCATGGAAGCAACTGGATTGACCATAACCAGCACAAGTACAGTATGATTGAAAAGTGTGGTGTTGTTACTCCACTCACGTTTGGATTTTAGATTCTTGGCTGACATAGACAACTACCAATCTAATTGATTCTCATGTAGCTTTTTAAAGATAAGGTCAACTGACAGCAAATCATTAGAGGGGTAACACAGGCCATCCAATACCAGTTACTCTCTGATGACCTTGGCCACTCTCTGATGACCTTGGCCACTCACTGTATTGGCATAGTCACCATTTTCCTGTAAAATTCACCTTAATAAAGGATCCAACCCTCTGTTGCCTACTAGATCATCAGTTAGAGTTCAGTTACTCTTGTGTGGTCCCAAAAAAAGATTACAGAAATCCAGGGGATGCTCTGCAGCTGGCCAAACAGGTCTTCTGGCCGTGCCCATTCCAGTATGTCTACCAAGCACATGCTAGGAAAGAGGATGGTGTGAAAGATGGGTGTCATTGTTCTGGGTTTCCTGAAGTTATATTTTTTTTTAATTAAACACAAGGAAGCTAAGGCAGCTGTTTTGACCTGTTTGCATCATCTTAGCTGAATGAAAGGCGTAATATTGGTCAAGAAAAACAACTTTCCAAGCCTCAGAGAAGCAGTCATAGATGTTTTGCTTTTAGTATCAAAATACTGTTTGGTTATACATTGAGGGCATTCTGTTCCTAGTCTTAGTCTTCTTTGGTATTTCTTTCTAGCTGTGTTTTTCCCAGCAGGGAGAACATGGCCTTGGGTGGTATGGTTTAGAGCGAGGTGTTCCTGCCCATGGCAGGGGGGTTGGAACTTGATGATCTTAAGGTCCTTTCCAACCCTAACTATTCTATGATTCTACGATTCTATAATATGTGACCTGCTAACTACTGAGGGAGACTTCAAACTATCACTAGTGAATCCTATCTTTAAATCTGAAGCTATTGTACTCTGTAGAACTCTCAGATAAGGATTAGTTTTGACATAGTCAGTTTACACTGAAATTAGGGCAGTTCTACTGAACTTAAAATACAGGAAGATGAATGTACATTTGTTGTAAACAGAAATGCTTCTACATTTTAGACATGGTATATGTGAGGGACAGAATTGCTGAAGTGCCTTAATATTGGCATTCAAAGCAGTTATCTGAACAGATGTTTGAAATCTTCAAGAACAGATTTCTCACAGAGAGTATGTTTCCTTTGGATTATATCAGTGTTTGATGTACATTGAAGTAACAGCTTGCTGTTTGATGAGCTCAGAAGAACTGAAAACTGCAAAAGGCTCTTCAAATTTTTAGCACTTTAACTGGCAAATGAATAAATAAATAATTATTGAAAGGAATAAAGTTATTTGCATAGAAACTGCATGCAAGCCACCCAGCTCTGAATTCAGGTATGGATTTCTTTAATAAACGATTTAAGTTGTATCAGTTGTTTTGGCATTCCATCCATTTGGACATCTATAGCTCAGTAGAACTTCTTGGAGTTTATTCATTTTAGCACTAGTGGGCTGTGACATGTCCTAAAGAAAACCAAATATTAACTCTTCCTGGAGTTCTAATCCATCAATATCTTCTATTTGTTCACAAGGGAAAGTTTCATGAAGCAGTTTATTGATCGCCAGCAACAAGATACCAGCTGTTTGCTGCGAAGACTTCCTTCAGCATCTTCTTCCTCATGTGACCACTCTAAAAGATCAGCAATTGAGGAAAACAAATATATTGATCAAAAGGTAAATCAAGAGCATAGGGCAGTATATGTCTTCTCTTGCATACTGTGAGAAAAGACGGGAGATTTTTCAGTCTGACAAAACTATATAAAAGTGAACACAACCTAGGATGACTAAACCCAGGCTCAAAGGCTGTATTTAATTTCGCCTAAAACAGACAGCACAGCAGATCCTCATTTTATTTAAATCTTCATGTCTCTGACTTCAGGATTTGATACATAATTTTGTTCAATGCATCCATTTTATGAAGCTATTTTTTTAAGTAGTCTTGCTGTTATCCACTGAGAAGCTCATTGAAAATTAAAGTTTGTGAATATCACATTGAATTTTTGAATGCCTTGATACTGTTACAATGTTGAAAACACACTTCACTGAAGCAAGGTCTCTCTGTAATCATTGGAGATGAGTAAAAATGTAAGAAATATTATTTATTTCTTTAAAGACATTAACCTCTCTGTAAGCCTGGGAATCATTAGAAAACAGATGCTGAACACATATATTTTATACCCATTGTGTTAAATGGTGCTAGTTTCCCAGCCAGACTGGCGTGGATGGTTGGAATTGAAAAACGTCAGTACTGCTTGAAATGATGACGATGATGATGCAGCAACATAAGTAAACACTGGCACCTTGCAAAACCGCATGAGCAGAAAACGTCTTCATGTGCATCATGGAGGATACTGGCTTCCCAGATTTCTAGTGGTATCTACGCTGATACCACTTCTTAATCATTTTTAATATCATGTAACTTACTAGTGACATTTCAGCAGACAAAAGAAAAGCCCTTTCATTATTCATAACAGGGTGCTCAAATGCCCTTTGAATATTAACATCAGGGGTTTGTAAATACTTTTTTAAGTTAGAGGGTATGTATTGTAGTTACACAGTATAACTTGTCTTTCGTAGTATGTGGTTTGCATCTGTAACGCAGACAGAATTTGTACAGGCAGGAAGCAGAGTTGGGAAAACAATACTCTTCTGATAATGAATACATTTGCAAATTTGCAAAAGAGGCAATTTGCAGACTACTGTTAATTTCCATCCCTATGTCGGTGCAAGAACCCACTCCTGTGGCTGATGTGTTCTGAGACATTAATAAGTGAAAGCTGAGCAGCATGGCCTTAGAGGGAGGTGTGTGGTATCAGACAATTAAGGACATAGGAAGGAATCAAGCCTAAATGGACATCATCTACTCTAACAAGCAAAGCGGAAAAATTGGGTATTAAATGACAAGCCTAAGGGTCAGCAAACCTATGCCAAATATCACTAATAATGAATCTCAAATGCTGTGCAGGAGAAATCAAAGGACATTTCTACCATGTATGAAGAGATGAACAGAGACCTTAAACTTGTCCCAGCGACACAAAAAAGTCCACAATATGCATTGCAGAGCTGTGCAATGATTCAGTAGATCTGTCTACATAAATATAGTTAGGTATATTAAATTGCAATCTTAATTCCTTTTGCCTGCTGTTCACAGAAGTGAATAGTTATTGTGTTTGAAAATAGATGAATACCTGGCACAGTTTGTTCACTGAGATCTTGCAATATGAACACAGACTGCTGCAGTCTTTTCAAATTTTCACTTCCCTCCAAGAGCAACTACATATGATCCAACTTTCATTTTTTAATTGAAATAAGTGTTTGCAAATTGGTTTTGCACTATTCAACCTGCTTTAAACACATACTTTTGGATTCCTATGCCTCGAGGGTAGAACCAATGATGGGTAACATTCTGATAAATGCAGCTTAAAACAAGGCAGCTACACATTCCTATTAAGAGGGAGAAAGCACTAGGAAGCATTTTGTGGAAGTAATTACTCTGGCTTTCTATAGTTACAGTTGCCAAGGCAACCTCACTTTTGTATAAAAAAAAATCTTCATAAAAATAACTTTAAAACAAGCTTGGAATGACTGGTTGCGCTTAAATATAAACCACGCATACTTTACTTTCTTTGTAAAAAACAAACCTGATCAAACTACTAATCCCCAGTGCCTAGCAGGATGCATTCCCACTGCTCCTGGTAGCAGTGCCATGGCTTCAGAAACTTTTCACATCTTTTTCGCATTGTAGTTGATGAAAAATACCAGGGTGGAATCAAAAGGTGAGATTCTGCTGGCAGATTTGACTCTGTCTTTTCTTTGCAGTGCCTTAGCTGTGGATAGTTCCTCCAGTTTCTCCTGGACTTATATCACTACTTCTGATTCCACACCTCTTGAAGCGATAGGAAGTACTTAATACATACATTCCCTTATTTCCACTTCAGCCACAATTTTTTTCTTTCTCTAAAAATGTACCACTATATATATGGTGTTGGTTTTGCCTTCAAAATCAATCTGACCCATAGCATGTGATGTCGGTAAAGCAAATCAGGTTTTGTTTTCTCATATGATTGGTTTAATAAGTCTTTTCAGTATTACAATTACTTCCTTGAAAAGATGTTCTAAGTTGTATAAAAAGGAGTAGATTTTTATTGCATTATTTCTTTTTTTAAGGTATTTTGCCTTCTTAAAAGAATCGAAAATATTATTCATGTATCTACTCATAATCATGACAGCAATCGGTTTGAAATTATTTTCATCTGTGCCAAATGAACATAACAGCTTTTGGAAAACAGATTTCTCTGCTGTAATTCTTTTCTAGTCAAGTCTGTGAGTTCCAGAAGTTTTTCTAACTCTTCCAAATTTCAAAATTATTATCAAAGGAATGAACTGACCAAACACTAATATAAAAAATTGCTTTTAGATACCTTTACCTTTTTTATGTCCCCTAAGAATTCCCTCTCAATGTGTGGGGTCTGAGTGGGTGTGTGGAGACAGACTGCCATGCTCATTCTACATCCGATGACAGAAACACCTTAACTATCTCAGTCATGGATGCTTGATAGGCAGCTTAACATGATGCTTTAATTGAGCTGTTTATGATTATCTGTAACTTTGTGTGCAAAAATGGAATTCTCTCAGGTTCTCTGAACTTAACAGTGCTGGAAATGCAGGATAGTTGGGTTGCACTCTCTGCTTGAGGTCCTGCAGAGCAAATTTTCTTAAACCCATTGATCTTGCCACAGACTTGCTCCATTGTGTGCTGGGTTAGTCTATCCTGATGTGGTCTGCAGGCCATGAGTTGAAGAGCTCTGGGTCTAATTCGAGAAACCAGGACTGTCCAAGTTGCTGAAGGTACCTCTGTTGTAGAACAAAGTACCACGAAGATACTTTCTGGTGGAAAAAAAGAAGTCTGATCAGAAAAAGTGCAAGTATAATGAGACGGTGCCATTATAAAATTAATGAAAAAATGTCTAAGAAAAGCATTTAAAATTAAAAGAGGGAGTTACAGTATTAAATGAACATTGTAGATGTGGGAGAATTGGAGTTTTATAGACAGAGAGGAAAGTGTTCTTTTATACTTCCACGTTTATATGAAAATTATTCACAGTATGCTGGGAATTTCCTTAGCTAACCAATATTTAGCAAATTCTTGGACAGGAGAAGAGGATAAAATACGGAAACATCATTTTTGTGTGAGTGGGTTGATGAGAACAAAGAAAATAGGCACAAAAATGAGGACATCTCACAGTGGTGGCTCTCACGAAAGTGTGAGGGAGTCTCAGGAAGTTCTGGGGGACAAAGATCTAAATGAGCTTTAAGATTTACAATAAATCAGGTGCCCAGTGAAATACAGCTGAGTTGCCTGCAGAGCACTGGCTTTGGCTTCTTAACTTCAGGGCTGGAATCAGAGGAGCACAGGAATACCTCAGAGTGCTTTCCTAAGAGGTATTCAACCTTTAGCAGCCCTGTGGAAAATTGTTGTGAGGACACTCCTGAACTGGTTAGTTATCTTTGGCCATAGAACTGCACAATGCTGTTAGAGTTCAGAACTGGCAGGCTTATAAGACAAACTTTGAAAACACCTGTGGCTCAATACATGCATATAACGATGTGCATGTTTACAGCAGTGGCACAGCAGGAGTGTATTACAAAACAAAGCAAAAGGTCATTTAATATATCCGTGTACTTTATTGAGAATCTCCCTTTTAATTGAAGGAATATAAGCAAACCAGTTCCTTTATTTTTGTGTTTGTAAGATTAACTGGATAGTAACAAACATACTTTGTTTCTTTTCTGTTTTATAATCCTGTTTCTTGTTTCCTTTCACATGAGTTTTGTTTTTAGCTCTTCAAGCAATGAAATTAGTAGCCATTCCATTTTCCTGTGCAAGCAAGATCCATCATTAAGGTCTAGATTCTGTAAAAGTTTGACCTCCCATGCTATATGCCTCTCCCACTGATTTCCTGCTTGCAGTAGAATTTACCTGTATGATTGGAGGTGATGGTCAGAAAGTGAGAGCTGATCTCAGAGGTAGCCAGAGCCATTACTTTGGAGGACTATGAATATTAAGCAGCAGACCTCGTGCTGGATTCTACGTTCTTTGGGGAGTCAGGGCACCGAGCTGATGTGTTCATGACGACTTGTATTAACTTTGCAGTTACAAGCCTCATCTTGGAAGGGCCTGAGTACTTATCAGCACCCTTTGTTTTATGTAGAAACCATTGTCTCTTGACACCTGAAGGAAAGTTATGATTTTACCTGTTTACAGTTTCACACACAAAGTCAACAAATGAGATTACCCACAACTTTGAATGCGTGTTGGGTGAACATCATAGGTACTCCATTTGTGAGCTGCTGAGACAACACCTATTCTTGATAAGATGTTGTTTAAACTGGCAATTTCTTCTGGCATGTCTTTTTCTGATCTGTGCTCAGCTTCTTCCATTCATTCCATTGTTTCTAGCAAAAAGAACCACATATATTCTGAGAATATTATGAAATTACTTTTCCTTGCAGAAAGTATTCATAATTTAAAAGCTGAAATAGCTGTTCAGCTTTTATAAGGCATAGCTTTCAGTAATCAAAGACAGGGTGTCCTAAGATATCTTTCAGGCATGAAGACATACTCATAAACTTTATTTGTATTTTTTTTCCTTCTTTAAAAAGAACCAAGGGTA